CGTAATTTATTTACAGTTTTTACATGTATACTTTTGTCTATATTCAAGTTAGTTCCAGCTTTTCATCAGGTTCTAGCTTTCATTTTCAATGTTTAACTTAAAGAGGAGCTCCAGTCAGTTTTCTGAAAATGAAGTCAGCAGCTACAAAAACTGGTAGCTGCTGATTTTTAATAATCAGACACTTACCTGTACCAGGATCCTCCGATGTGCTCACCCAAGGGGTTGCCGGAGTTGGCAACTTAACTGTAGGCACACGGCTGTGACAGCTTGAGACTTCATAGCTTGGTGCCCATTGTGCATGGACAAGCATCACTGCTCATTGTAAATGGTCCTGCAGTTTTCTGGGACTTGTCACGTGTCCCAAAAGACTGCGGGGAGGGAGCCATTTTCAGCTTCCGATCGCCTTGAAGTGACAATTCTTTAACAAAAGCAGAGGAAGCCTTAAAGGCCTTTTGGGTGGAGCTCCGCTTTAACAAGCTTTAGCTAGAAACTGATTGGCTACTATGAGTAGCTACTTCAGATTGCCTACTCCAATTTCAGTAAGTTTCCCCTAAAATTACTTCGCATCCTAGACTACAGGATACAACAGTTACCAAAACGTGATTTTACAATACCATTCTGGTGCCCAATCCACTAGCTTTACATTTTATCTGAGTTGCAGATGGGCCTCAAGAAAGAGAATTAGATATTTGCTTGGCCCTGAATCATACTAGTACTGCAAATTTCCTTTGTTCCCAAACATCTCCTCCAGGTTTCCTCCACTTGACAACAGCGCATGATACAGTTTATAGAAGATTTTCTATAAGAGAAATCGATTTTGCGTTATCATTTTAGGTCACCTTTCCTTTTTAAAAAATGACAGCACTCCTCTATCAATACTGTGGGCAAGTACCAGCAGTAAGGCTCATCCAGCCACATTTGTACTTGCTGAATATAGTCTATTCTACAGTATATTGCGAAAAACAGCTAGGGTTAGGCAAGTAAGCATATATAAAAACTGAAAGTAGTTAATACAAACTATTTATATATCATATTTTGTATTTACCTGGCTGAATAAAAATTAAGATTACAAAAACGAAAAAAAAAATTTTTTAAAAAACTTTTAAAGCAATACACATAAACGCTACTACTGTACATCTAACAAAAAACAGCAAACAAAGGAAATATATGTTCATTGCTAGTCCTGCAGGTGTACATAAGGCCTTTCATCTTTATTTCTGATAGAAAACAAATACAATTGATGGTTAATGGTTACTCTTAGTATGTATTTTGTATTAACCTTGATAAACCACATCCTTCATGTGTGAAGTGACATTCACAATAAAAAGCATGTGGGTGGAAAAAGTATTAAACATTTTTTAGTGGTTTGGTTAGTTGTTTTTTGTAATTTAGTAGTTGCATGTTTGAGAAAAAAAAGATCATTTTTTTAACCTTTTGCTTATTCTCCTTTTGGAAAGTTGAACCAAACCTCCAGTAATAGCCACATACATTAGATAGCGGTTTGCTTTGCATGATGAGTTTGACTGCCAAACCATTAATTGTTTTTTTTTCTTATCAAAAAATTAATATAAGGTATAATTATGTACTAAAGTGGTCAACATGAAATACAAATCCTCCCTGTAAAAAGTAATGCTGTATACTTTACATTTATGGTGTCAAATGCCTGCTCCCCTGCTGAATGCTCTGGTTCCTCCCACTTGCTAGTAATTATGTAGAAGCTAGAGCAGCAATGGGCAAACAACGGCCCGGCGGACCTTTTAATCCGGCCCGCGGAGCTAGGCTCCCGCTAGGCTCCTCTCAGTCCGCCCTGAAGACTGGTGTAGCATGAAAATCCGTCTCCTATGAGGATCTGTCCCCCTCGACGTATCTGCGCATGTGCCGGAGATCGCTGATCGGCTGCTAATGCCTGAAACTGGCACCTGCGCAGATACGTCGAGGGGGACAGATCCTCATAGGAGACAGATTTTCATGCTACACCGGAACGGCGCGGGAAGACGGCGAGAGGAACGCGCGGAGCAAAGGTAAGTGAATTGACACAGGGGGGACTTGGGGACTTAATATGGGGAAAGAATTACTATATGGGGGATGAATTACTATGGGGGATGAATTACTATAGGGGGGATGAATTACTATAGGGGGGATGAATTACTATGGGGGATGAATTACTATATGGGGGATGAATTACTATATGGGGGATGAATTACTATGGGGGATGAATTACTATATGGGGGATGAATTACTATGGGGGATGAATTACTATATGGGGGATGAATTACTATATGGGGGATGAATTACTATGGGGGATGAATTACTATAGGGGGGATGAATTACTATGGGGGATGAATTACTATATGGGGGATGAATTACTATATGGGGGATGAATTACTAGGGGGGGAATTACTATATGGGGGATGAATTACTATATGGGAGATGAATTACTATATGGGAGATGAATTACTATATGGGGGATGAATTACTATGGGGGATGAATTACTATGGGGGATGAATTACTATGGGGGATGAATTACTATATGGGGGATGAATTACTATATGGGGGATGAATTACTATGGGGGATGAATTACTATAGGGGGGATGAATTACTATAGGGGGGGATGAATTACTATGGGGGATGAATTACTATATGGGGGATGAATTACTATATGGGGGATGATTATTACTATATGGGGGATGAATTACTATATGGGGGATTAATTACTATGCTTACTATGGGGGATGAATTACTATATGGGGGATGAATTACTATATGGGGGATGAATTACTATGGGGGATGAATTACTATGGGGGATGAATTACTAAATTGGGGATGAATTACTATATGGGGGATGAATTACTATGGGGGATGAATTACTATATGGGTGATTAATTACTATGCTTACTATGGGGGAATATTACTATACTTACTATGGATGACACATACACGTCATTCATCTACTCTTGGTCCGCCCCCGGGTCCAATATATGAACCCATTGCGGCCCTCAAGTCAAAAAGTTTGCCCACCCCTGAGCTAGAGGAAGGAGCCACTGCATGTTGGGGGGGTAGCAGGTATTTGGCACCCCTGGAGGTGCTAATACCTACAGCCAATGGGGATCACAACACTGGGAAATATTAAAACATGGGCCAGTGGAAAGATAAATATACAGAATTTCTTTTTACAGGGGAGCTTTACTTTCATTGTCAGCCTTAGTGATTGGATCACTTTAAACAAACAAGTCTATTAGCAGACACTTCTTCTTCAATAAACTTCAATAACTAAAGCTTGGTACATACAGATCAAAATTTCAGCTGGTTCAACAGGGATTGGCTGAAGTTTGATCTGTGTGTAGCCCTCTCTGTTCATCAGAAGCCAATCACTGTATGGACTTCTGTCGAATGGACCTGTTGTTAATAGCAGTGCCTACTCAGCCATGACCCTGCCAAGCTCTGCAGTTCTGCACAGTGGATGTTACAGGCTTTTATCTGCACAATAGTCCTTATGCACACTGGATGTTTTTACAGCTGCTGTTTTTGGCTTTTGGCGTTGTTTTCTACGTTATCCTATGTGTCAGTGCACACATAGGCTTTATTCAGCGTTTTTTGGCTAGAAAAAAAACCCAGAACTAGGGGGTTTCTAGAAGATTTTTTTAGCAGTATAAAATGCTCTTAACACTGAGAAACACGTCAAACCGGTGTTTTTGTACATTTTTTTGTGAGTAAAATTTAATTTTTTTGTAAAAACCGTAAACGCAAACGTAGGAAAACTCGGCTAAACGCTTATGCAAAAACGCTGAGAAACTAGCGTTTTTAACGTGACTTTAGACAGCTAACGCTACCAGCGTTATTAAAACACCCAGTGTGCATAGAGAATGTGAGAGAAATGTTTCATTTTTCCTTTTGTTTCATCAATATATCTACACCTGGCAGCACTCCTTGTTTTTTCTTCTTAGTGAGGAATCAACATAATGCCTTTTATGGAACTTTTTACTACGTCTCCAACCCGCCACCCCAGCCATCCTAGCACCTTACAACTACCCCAGCTGCTGCACCCACGGCTACTTGAATGCCCAAAAAGTGAATGCATATGAAGGGATGTAGCCACTGTTTGGCTTACCATTTTCCACCCAGCTCCTTCAATTTATTTAAAGTTTGTTGAACTGGGGAGGGGGGCCCCCAGAGCCACTGACAGTTAGAATTTAGTCCAATTTAGTAGGAATCTGCCAAAAATTAAACCATGATTGGCTAGCTTAACTATGGGATTAGCGCAAGCCTCCACAGTTGGCAAATGTGATTTAAAGTGGTTGTACATCCTTGCACATATCCAGTGAAGTGACTGGCCTCAGGTGTTACAGAGGGATTAATTATCCTACATACGTTGTAGCTGTCTATCTACGAATCTTCTCTTCTTCATATCCATTCAAAGTCCAGAATTTATACAGCTTGTCTGAGCTTTCAGAAAGCAGGGGGCTGGGAGCTTATATTACATTGCAGAGCTCAGTGAGGAGAGCTGGTTGGAGGGAAAGGACACCCCCCCCCTCCACACAGCTCATAGTAACAGAGCTGTGGCTGTCACTTTGCTGGAGGTTCTTCCCCTGTCACCATTTTTGTCTTGGTGTCAGGAAAACTTGTCAGATGTGATTCATGCTGATAGCACAGGAATGAAGCAGGAGACAGAAATTACACTTAGATCTCTGGATAGAGACAAGTACACACTATAGAGGGAAATGCTTTGTTCATATTTCATGTCTGAAGTTTACAATCACTTTAACCACCTTCCGCCCGCCCTACAGTACAATGACGGGCGCAAGGCGGTTCTCTCGTTCTGATAGGACGTCATATGACGTCCTACCAGTCTCAATGCGCATGCGCGGCTCAGGGAGTGCGCGGCTCAGGGAGCGCGCAGCACGGCGTATGCCGGTGCGCTGTGTCCCTCGGACACAGCGGATCACGGAAAGAGCCGAAGATGTCGGCTCGTTCATCTGATTAGCTGTGTCCAATCACAGCTGATCACATGTAAACACAGAAATACCGGTTATCGGCATTTCTCTCCTCTCGAGCTGTCATGCTGACAGCTCGAGAGGAGAGCCGGTAATCGGGTTTTCCGCGGAGGGGACATGTACACTGATCATCAGGGCACTGATGATCAGTGTGCCCTGATGATCAGTGTGGCCCCATCAATGCCACGTGCCAGTGCCCATCAGTGCCACGTGCCAGTGCCCATTAGTGCCACATCAATGCCACATATCAGTGCACATCAATGCCACATATCAGTGCCCATCTGAGCTGCCTTTCAATGTCACCCATCAGTGCCAGTCAGTGCCACCTATCGATGACAATCAGTGCCACCTATCAGTGCTGCCAATCATTGCCACCTATCAGTGTCACCAGTCAGTGCCGCCTATCAGTGCCAGTCAGTGCTGCCTATCAGTGCCGCCTATCAGTGCCATATATCAATGTCATGTATCAGTGCTGCCTTTCAGGGCCCATCAGTGATGCCTGTCAATGCCCATCAGTGCAACCTACCAGTGCCTCCTCATCAGTGGCCATCAGTACCACCTATAAGTGTCCATCAGTGAAGCCTATCAGTGCCCATCACTGCAGCCTCATTAGCGCACATCAGTGAAGGAGAAAAATCGCTTATTTACAAAATTGTATAACAAAAACTAAGAAACACATTTTTTTTTTTTTCAAAATTTTCAGTGTTTTTTGGTTTAGGAAAAAATAAAAATCCCAGAGGTGATTAAATACCACCAAAAGAAAGCTCTGTCTCAAAAAAATGATAAAAATTTCATATGGGTACAGTGTTGCATGACTGCGCAATTGTCATTCAAAGTGTGACAGCGCTGAAAGCTGGAAATGGGCCTGGGCAGGAAGGGGGTATAAGTGCCCTGTAGGCTAGCGGTTAAATACATTAAAAACCATACATTTCTAGTAATCAGATAAATTTGCAAAACATATCCCCCAGTTTTCTGCTACAAATCAGTCAGCTACAAACCCTTACATTTTCTACAACCCTTTTATTTTAGTTTTGGATGGAATAAACGTAGGTAGTGGTGGTATAAAAGAATTGTATTTTTTTTTACCACTTCAGCTCCAGAAGATTTACCCCCCTTCCTGACCTGGCCCTTTTTTTTGCGAAGCAGCGATGTGTTATTTAACTAACATTTGCGTGGTCATGCAACACTGTAGCCAAATGAAACTTATGTCCTTTTTTCCCCACAAATAGAGCTTTATTTTGATGGTATTTGATCACCTCTGTGGTTTTTACTTTTTGCGTTATAAACAAAAAAAGACTGACAATTTGAAAAAAAAAAAAACACAAATATTTTTTATTTTCTACTATAAAGCATATCCAATAAAAAAAATTAAAATTCAATTTCTTCATAAATTTAGGCCTAAATGTATTCTGCTACATATTTTTGGTAAACAAAATCCCAATAAGCACATATTGATTAGTTTGCACAAAAGTTATAGTGTCCACAAACAATGGGACATATACTGGGATTAAATAAAAAATGTTATACTAGTAATGGTGGTGATCAGCGACTTAGAGTGGGACTGCGATAATACAGTGATCAGTGCTAAAAATATGCAGTGACTCTGTACTAATGACACTGATTGAGAAGGGGTTAACATCTGGGGCGATCAAAGAGTTAAGTGTGTGCCAATCTATGTGCTTGGTGCAGGTACAAGGGAAAGTGATGGATCCAAACACTGCAGGTAGACAGGATTGATCACTTTCCCCTGTCACGACAGACCTGTATCTATGTAAACCTAGCCCAGCTCTGTTCTTCCTCCCTTCTCGTCAAACGATGGGTGCCAGCACCTGAACTCACAGATCAGCTTCTGCTGTGACAGTTCAGAGATCCACTGGTGGTGCGCCCCCGTGTGGTGGAAGTGCAAAATGACGTATATACATGATTTTGCACAGGAGGGCCACCCTGTAGCTGTAAAAGTGCCTATAGGGCAGTCCTCAAGTGGCTAATAACTATTGTCTTACTAGTGCCCAATTGAGGAGCTCTTCTTTCACTTCCTGCACTGGGGAAACAGGAAGTGGGAAGAAATCTCTCCATAGTAAAGTAAATCCCCGAAAAGTGATGACATAAGATATACGGTATGAACATTTCAATTTCTTTGATAGCTTTCAGTAATAGTATTTTATACCTCATATTTCATATATTTATTGGAGTGTTCTTTTGTTTGTATTACAAAACTGACAATAATAAATAAGGCAATGCTGCAAAACTGCCACATCTGATTTTTGTATATGGTTAAGTGGCATGGTTTGTAGTCACGCGACTGTTATTTTCTTCTGGCTAATGACTTCCTTTGAGGAAGTGGCAGGAAGCTGACATATTTATTGTGTGCAAAAGCTACAAAAAATATGTTTTCACAAAAAAGTGTGCAATATTATACACAATTATACCTTCTATCTTAAAGTAAATCTAAAGGTATTTTTTTAAAATAACAAACATGTCATACTTCCCTCCTCTGTGCAATGGTTATGCACAGAGCCGCCCCAATACTCCTCTTCTTTGGACCCCTGCCGGTGCTCCTGGCTCCTTCTCTTCAGCTAGTGCCCCTTGTGCAGGCTCGCTCCCGAACCCCGCTGCCTGCGTCCATAGACACAAACAGCGGCCACAGCCTTACCGCACCCTGGTAATGGAGCTTGATTGCCAGCAGCAGAAGCCAATGGCTTCCACTGCTGTCTGCCCAGTGAGGAGGAAAAGAGCCAATTGGGCCGCTGCTCTCATACACAGTACTGGATCACAATGGGGCTCAGGTATATATAAAGGGGGGGGGATCCCAGCCACAGGTTTTTTACCTTAATGCATAGAATGCAGTAAGGTAAGAAACCTTAAGGCTTTACGATCATTTTAAAGGAGAATTGCACTACCACCACATTTCCCCCCTTACTTTTTTGCATTGGGTTATGCACAAAAAACATACAAGCTTAGCGAGCCAACGCTCTTAGGTTCAGCACCACCATATTCCTCTATGACATCAGTTGGCCTACTGTTTCTTCCAGGTTCTTGCAGCTAGCCCCCTGATGACATCAGAGAAGAAGATGGAGGTGTGAGATGGGGTGTGCAGTGTCAAAGCAGTGCAGCATTATGGGCCAGCTGCAAGAACTAGGGTAGTGACAGCTAGTCCCCTGATGATGTGCTGCAGGGCATGAAATGTAGGCAAAAATGCAGGAAGTGTTGGGAAGATTTCTGAAAAAAAAATTTAAATGGAATGACAGAAAGTGGGTAGAGATGGAGAAGGCTTGTTTTAATATAGCCATAGATATTAGATAAAAACATTTTTGGTTGGTACACTACACAACAACCCTGAACGACCATACAATTTAACCACTTCCTGTCTGGACAGTTTTACCCCCTTCCTGTCCTGGGCAATTTTCAGCTTTCAGCGCTATCACACTTTGAATGACAATTGTGCGGTCATGCAACACTGTACCCATATTAATTTTTTACCATTTTTTTTATACAGATAAAGCTTTATTTTGGTGGTATTTATTCACCGCTGAGATTTTTTTTTTCTTTTGCTATGTAAATGAAAAGGTCCAAAAATTTTGAAAAAAGTGTTTTTCTTATAAAATTTTGCAAATAAATAATCTTGCATCATAAATCTTTGCCAAAATGTATTCCGTTATATTTTTAGTAAAAAAAAAATCAGCCAAATTAGTTTATAACTAAAAATTATAATTTTTAAACTTTTTTTTACATTTCTATTTTATTTTTTTATATTATTATTTATGGGTTTTGTTTTTTTTTACATACGGTCACCCTAGCAGTACAGTACCATGGTGACACTGTACTACTTGTGGGGGGTGAAGATTTTTTTTTACAGTGATTGCTTTTACACCCATATAGGATGTAAAAGCAATCATTTCTCTTTCTCTCTGTCTGCATTCTTGCAGCCATTGAGAAATACTGAGTGAGCTGTGATTGGTCACACCTTGTCACATGGTACAAGGCTGTTGTGAATAGCCTTGTACCATGTGACCTCTTTGATCATTCACAGATTTCACACGTAGTAAACAATGATGTCACAAGTGACATCTTGCTTACTACTTTGGATGTGATCACTGATTGGCCAATCAGTGATCACATGATCAGGACCTCGTACAGAGGTCCCGTCCGACGATCGGTGTTTCACTGTGTCCGGAGGAGACAGCGGGCACCGGATTGCAGTGCTGCGCGCTACCAGGGAGCGCGCACAGCTAGAAAAAGCGGGTGCCATTTATGAATGGCAACCCACCACTGGAGTGCCACTGTCCTGCCGTTTATAAACAGCAGGCGGACGGCAAGTGGTTAAGCAATTGGGCATTTTATAAGTGATCAAATCTCAGCTTTCGTGTCTGCCATTTTTGTTTTTAACACTGTATGCAGTAATTCCACTCAGTGGAAATATTTGATCCCTTTAGAGTCCCTTTCACATGGCGGGTCTGATATGGTCCACCTGTCAGTTTTTCAAGCAGTCCTGATCGGGCGGTCCATTGACCACTATGGATCAGTGGGTGTAAACTGACTTGTCTCGGTTTAAACCTACATCCAACCCGATCCAGTCCACTGAAAAAAAAAAACAAAAAAAAACAAAGGGGATCTGTCTCCTTTAGTCTAGGTGGATCGGATCAGAGGGTAGTCAGGTCTAAATGGACAGTGGGGTCTGTTTACACCCAACCACCCATACAGCAGAGCAGGCTGTGTTGGTGTCCACTCTGCAGATACTGAATGGACATGGATCTGTCATCCGCCAGCTCTGCTTCGATCAGCAGGGGATTAGCAGAAAGATCCCCTGCTGATCTAAACGGAGCACGCCCTGTGTGAAAGGGGCCTTTAGCCTGGTACACATGATGAGAATATCGGACAAATAATAATCCGTTTTATTTTTGCATGCTAGTCTTATATCAAAAATGAATAGGTTACTAGAGTTACAATATTTCTCGTAAATCAGAGTACAACTTTCCTGTGATGATGTAATGTACTGTAAAGTATTCCTTGGGTTCCGAGCATGAACGGTCTTGATGACTCAATTTTTTTATGGACAAATACTGTACTGATTAAACAAATTTTTTTTGTTCTGTTATCATAAGAGAACAATTTTTGTGCTTGTCCCTTCGGATAATTTCACATGAACTGTCTTGATTGGCTCTTGAAAGTTGTGTACTAACCATCAGATTATCAGACAATCGCTCTGAAAGCTGTATTTTTCCTCTGATTTTCTCATGGTGTGTGCGAAAATTAAAGTTGATTTATAAGGACCACAAAATATGCACTGCTGAGGATTGGAGAAACAAGTCTGTCTGTATTTTCCAAAACAACCAATCATAATGTCATGTGGATTAGAAAATAAAAATCAGCCAGTTACTATACACGACACAGCAATGAGCTAATTTCAGCCGTTTTTAAAAGGTACAATACC